CTGTGCCTTATGTAGGGATCGTATAACTGTAGTTCCTCCAGGAGTTTCATATTGTCATATCGTCTCATTTCATCGTGTTCAGAAGCACTGAAGGGGTTTTCATTTCATATATCTGAATAGATTTGTTTTTTATAATGATAAAAAATTTCAGAGTATTTTTTGTTGTAGCAGTATATTTCTTATCTGTAAATCTTAGGCCTCTGATAAAGATGATAGTTGTAATGAAGCTTTAATGAAGGTCTAAGACTGCTTCAAGTTTTATATCGGTCATAAAAAGTGTACCATAAAACATAATTGTATGTTTTGTTTTGGTTTTATTCTTCAGTTATAAGTAGTGATGCAGATCCACCTTACAGCTACCGTTAAAACTATGAAGTCTGAGTTTTAATTTAGTAGTCATAAAACAGTTTTATAGACGACTTGACGGCCTGATTTTATGACAAGCACACAAAACCGTAATACAACCACAGGCTGGAAGGGATGCTATGATAAAACAATGATAAAATAAGAATAAATCTTCCAAGCATTTAGATTGTTACTTGGGCGGGGCAAACTGCTATAAATTTTCCGTCAAATAGATTCAACCCTCCCTTAGCTCAGTCTGTAAAGGCACAGCTACAAACAAGACCATGCTGGACGTGGCTGGGTTAGACTCCCGGTCCAGTCTAGGAATTTTTAGGGTTAGAAAAATTATCAACTTCCCTGGGCATAAAGTATGATTGTTGAGAGCACGCAATAACCTTTTTTTGCGATATTTGCGATAATCAATAAGCTTGAAATGTCAATAAGAAGAAGAAGAAGACATCCGGTTACACCCATATTGTTTTTTTTTTCTTCGAAAAGGTAATGCTATTTGAATGTTGACAAAAATTTGCCTGTCCCGATCATGTTGTCTATCCCATTGAGGCATTAGAACAAATGTGCATCAAAACAATTAATAATTTCCAGCAAAAATCGTTACAATCTTCAACTGCAACGATCAATAGCCTTTATAACTAAAAAGATTTGATTAATACAAGTTGTTAGTTATTGTTACATCCTTCATCATTCCGCTCAATAGGTTCAGCTTAATAGGCATGCTTATTCGAAAAATAACATCGTTACAATTAGTTACTCCAAATGGGATATAATGGGCAGGCCAAATTATAGTGTTAAGGGTGTCCCACATCAAATTGCCTCACGAAAAAAAAACGGTGTAGAAAATTACCGATTGGGTATTTTCTTTTGAAAATTTGGGTAGAAATAGTTTTGAGTGTATAGTTTACACTATATTTTTATCACTGTCAGTTTTTCGAAGGTTGGAAAAATTGCATCACCCGAAAAGTAACGTCGCGAATTGATTTTGCGCAAGCACCTGGAAAATCCTCAACTCTCTCATTGGGACATCGGAAAACAACTCGGAATCGTGCAGTCAACGGTGAGTCGTGTGATTAAACGTTTCTACGAAACTCTGAGCATCGAACGGAAGGAATGGATGTTCTATTACTGATCAGGATCACAAGCGTGTCGTGAAAGTGTTTAAGCGGAATCCCAATGAGTCCAGTCAGGGATGTGGCCAAAAAGTTGAATCTGTCCAAGTCTTTCGTTCAGAGAGCCTAGGACCGGGAGGGAATGCATACGTACAAAATGCAGAAGACTCCAAATCGTGACGAACGGCAAAATACGGTGGGAAAGACACAGTCCTGGAAACTGTACACCCAGATGCTGACGAATCCACATTGTCTCATCATGGATGATGAGACTTACGTCAATACGGACTTCCGGAAGCTTCCGGGGCTACTGTTCTTCACCGCCTAGCACAAGTTGATGTTCCGGAGGAAGTAAGGAAGCAGAAACTGTCAAAGTTTGCCACGAAATATATGATTTGGCACACGATCAGCGCAGTGCGCCGCTCGTGTCTACCGGGACTGTAAACGGGGAGATCTACCTCAAGGAGTGTCTACAGAAGCGTCTGCTTCCTCTGTTGAAGCAACACGAGGGCCCTGAAATCTGCTGGCCGGAACTAGCTTCGTGCCACTATTTAAATATTGTCCTGGAGTGGTACGAAGCCAACGGGGTCACTTTCGTACCCAAGGTCATGAACTGGGGGGGGGGGGGGAACCGCAACTAAGGCACATCGAAAAATACTGTTATGAAGCAGGCACTACGGAAGCATTCCAAGGAAGTCAAATCTGAGGAAGACGTGAAGAAAAAGTGGGTTTCCGAACTGAGCGTACGGTTATGGTATTGAAGTTTAATTAAATAGATATGCAAAAAGCTTACTTTATGAAGAATTTCAAGCTACAATATAGAAAAAAAAACACATAGAACTTTTTAACTAGTCAAGTTGTACATCGGACATGTTACATTGGACGATTTTTCTCAATGACCTAATCAATGAGTGTTACATTGGACGTTTTGTTCTACATGATACTAGATTCCCTTTCACAGATTTCAGAGTAGAGTACGTAACTTTAGATTGGCTCCACTTTTAGAAAATGAGCAACAATCAAGTTAGGCAGTCCAAATGACCGAAGTAACAATCATGTGCCCATCATTTCAAACTGTACGTTGGACAATTTTTGACCTTTAATCTCAAATAAATGAAAGTAAATTTGGATGGGTGTTTTTGTATCACATACAATGATAGAAGAGCAATAGTTTGCATCGCTTGTTTACATTTGTTACTTACGACATTTTGAAAAGTGACGTGAGAAATTATTATGCGCATTTTGCCCCTCAGCGTTTTGAAAACAGGTTTTTGTACAGGGTGTGGAAAAATTATCCGTGTTTTTTTTTTCTCTCAGTGTATAGCTCGAATTTGACAGATGCTGAAATGAGCACACCTCTGCCAATTGAGACCTTGATACATAATAAAAAAAACGCTTGTAGTTTCGTTTGAATCGGTTCATGTGTATTGCCGTCATGAAGTCCAGTTTACTACAAAGTGCGGTAATTAAGCTTTATACACAAGGAATTCATCCAATTTGCAAAAACATTGCAAATGCCTTCGCAAACAGTTCGGGATGCTATAAAACGGTACCATGAACTAGAAAATTCGGAGGACCGTTCAGCTAGAGGCAGAAATCGAAGTGCGAGAACCACTCAGAACCGGAACATACTTCGTCTTAGGTTTAATCAAGATTCTAGACGGTCTATCCGAAAAATGGCGGAATCATTGAAAATCGACCCAAAGTCAGTACGAACTATTCCACACAAGGATTTAGGATTGCATTCTTACCAATTTTCGAAGAACCATTACCTAAATGACAGGATGAAAAGGAATCGGTACCAAAAATCCAAGATTTTATTGAAGGATTTCGGCAATGGACGGCATCGCACGATTTTATTCCCTGATGAGAAGATGTTCACTGTTGAACAATACCACAACCACCATAACGATCGCCAGATACTGCCAAAAGGTTCTTCTAACCGTACGAATGTTGCCAGATCACATCATCCAGCTTCGATGATGGTTTGGGCGGGAATTACGCCTTCCGTTAAAACTCCCTTAATATTTATTGGAAAGGGCGTCAAAATCAACCAAATAGTCTATCAGAAGCTGCTTACGGACACAGTTGCACCTTGAGCCGGTACGCATTTCGGTAACAACGATTGGACATTTCAACAGGATTGGGCACCATGGCATGGAACGAAAAATACGCTGGAACTATGTAGCAAACTTTTTCCTAGATATTTGACAAAGTATGTATGGCCTTCAAACTCTCCTGATTTAAATCCAATGAACTATTCCGTCTAGTCTATTCTTGAGTGCAGAGCCTGTACTAAGTCACACATATCTTTAGATCATCTGAAAGCAAGTTTAACAAAAGTCTGGGATGCAATATCTGTGGAGGAACTAACGTCCATCGTCGACAATTTCCCTAAGAGGTTGAAGGCGTGTGTACTAGTCAAAGGAGTACATTTTGAGAAATTGTTGTGAATATCATAAACTATGTTGTTGTACCTACATTTTCCATAAATATGTTGTAATCCAATACACCAGCAATAAAGCTACGACTAAATCATTATACACGGATAATGATTCCTCGCCCTGTAGGAATCATTAAATTTCACCAATTTAAACAAGAATTTATAAATTTTAGCTAAGCATATCGATTTTAATCTCTAGTCAAGAGCCTAATCCAACATATAGATAGTATTGCACATAAATAACGATTCACTTTATGACTTGAACAGGGATCTTCCTTAGCATGTCAATTTTGACCCATCTCCCTTATAAGGTTGGTAAGGTAACCTTACTGAAGTAGCAAGATAACCAAAGTAAACGGACTGTTAATTCAATATCAAATATGCAACGACATAAAAAATGTAAACCTCCCTATTGCAATGTTATCCGATTCTAACCCATCAGTTTGGAAGCACTGGCAATTAATATATCTTTATTTACAAAACAATCAACAGCTGATAGGTGATGCGCTAGTTTACACAAACCAACGCGCTTCTCCACACCATGTCAAGATCAGCCGCCACAGTGTTGGTTAACTCACCACCGTCCGGGGCAGGTTTTCACCAACACACGATCTCTGTACTGCTCTGCTACCGAAAACTCACCACCCATACGAGTTCCAAGTTGCTACAACCACTTGCGATGTTTCGTCGCTCGATCGGAAAACGGAACAAAAGATGTATCACGCAACAACAATCCCGTATCACTCTGCCTAGCAGAAGCGACCAGAGAGAATAATGAATGAACCACTTGTCACGGCGACGGCACGGTTGGCTACAAACATCTCGCACGCTCGAAATTGGCACTTGATCAAGCGAAACAAGTTTGCTGTGGTCGCTTCCTTCCTCTGTTGGGGTTGTCGTATATTTATATGTAGGTAGCTTATATCTGCATTACTTGTTACTTGTTGTATTTAAGTGCTAGGCATGCAACGACGATACGGACGGTGGCGATTGCCGTAGTGGCGCTAGCTGCCCCCAAGGCAAATGGTGGCCAATGACACTTGACGGCTGATCTTACAGATGTTTTTTTTTGTTTTTTGAACACTTACGTTGAACTTTTTTCTCTCTTATTCTTTGGATTCTGATTGACAGTCGAATTATCTCGCACTCAAATTGCTTCACACAAAATATCTTCACCAATTCTTCACGGAAAACAGAACACACTTTTGGACTAGACTGATTTTTACACTTTGCTGTTATGACACCTTGTCGTTGGTTAGAATTTCTCGTAAACACGCTGTCACTATTTTAAGAGCAAATCTGTATTTGATAGGTTGTAACCGTTTCCAGCGAAATTCACAATTTTTATAAAAATTCACACGCGATGATTCCACTTAACCAAAATTGATGACGATTTGGTTCACTGAATCGTTTCTTGAGATAAGCGGTAGCTTCGACACTTGCGGACACAACTGGCGGTAGCGCTGACTGGGATGATGATACTGATAAAGTTGACGAAGACGACAACGACGACGGCGATGGCAGCTAGCGGCTCTTCTTCAACTCTCTGTGATTCTGCGAATAAAAAAGGAAAATACGAGATATATTTTTAGAAACCGGCTGAAAGGAATCGTCATCATGATCAACATCGATGGCGCACTTCTTGAGGGCTGTTCATAAACCACGTAGACACAGGTTTATGTAATTTTCCAAAAATGTGTATGGACGATTTTCTACGCAGGGGGGGGGGAGAGGTGTCTAACACCTGTCAAAAACTGCCTACGTAGTCTATGAACAGCCCCGCATATCATACAAAATATAGATCAGAGTAGCGATCAAGAAAAATAAAATGAAGAAGATGTAGGAGAGGGAATTGTTGGTCTATTTGTAAAATTCGTTGATGTACGAGAGGAGACGGACACAGCGAAGATCACAGTGCTGAATAACACTGGGGGAGTGATCTTGAGGACGATAGAAGAAGATGATGATGATGGTGTTAAGTGGATGACAGAAATAAAGTTCCATGTCAAGCCATAATCATGTGGCTCAGTGATTTAATGCGTCCACTTCATGATGTGCGATATGGTTTCGGACTGGTTGTCTCGCAGAAGGTAGGCGATATGATTAAGCTGTATAGTTTGTTTGTTTGTTTTGCACAATGTTGGCGTGGTGGTTTGACTACGCAAACAGAAATAGATCTGGTATAGAACACATTATGAAACAACGTTTAAAGGAGCGATCTGGGATCATTCCCAATGACAGGCCTTTTTTGTATTCCAAGCGTTTTCCATTTGGAACACCTTCATAGGAGATGAAAAGCTTGCTTCCGTTTGCAACGAACTTTTCACTCATTATGGAATTGAACCTGAGCTCATGGTAGCAGCTGCCATAGAAGATAAAAAAATTATACTATCGAGGTGCAGATTTAAAAAGCTATGACAAAAACATAACCGAACCGAAGAAAAAGTATATAGCAATGATTACTTTACTAGCCCGTTTAAACTTCCTTCGAAAAGTATTAATGATATTCCTTCGTCATCCTCATCTGCTAAACGTGATAGAAAGTTACTGGCATGCGAAGACAGCAGCGAAGTTGTAAAAAGACGGAAGACATCGGATTTAAGGGGATATTCCCAATCTTTTGCCTATTTTGGCCTGTTTTTCAATTATTTTCTTTCAAGGAAAATGAATAGTAATGCGCCTAACTCTTTGGGATTCTTGTTTATTGAACATTAAAGTTTACAAATAAATTTTTTTCGACATAAAAAAAGACATTATTGACGTCACAAAATGGCGGCAAACAGACCCCTGTTCGCCGCAAACGCCTGGACGGGCGAAGACTTTTCTATGGAACGGCTTCATCTGAAACAAATTTCGTGATGAAATCAATAATCTGCATAAGATTCTCTGGAGCTTCTCCCGTTGGCAGCAAAAAATCTAGCAAATTAACAAAATGGCGGCCATATGAAAAAACAGGCGATTTTTAGCCCGCTTTTTTGCAGCTTTAAGGTCTTCAAACAATGTTAAATTTTTGGCTGAAAGTGGGAGAAGCTCCAAAGAATTTAATAAGGAACAAAATGCGCAAAGATTCAAGTCAATATCTCTTATAGTTTCTGAGAAAAATCTTCGCCCGATAAAAAAATGTGGTTTCGAGAAAAACGCGTTTAAAGTTTTGACTTTAGTTAAAACCATTTGGGGGTTCTTACCATTAGTCAGCTATGCCTGGACACCGAATTCGCTGATCGGAAAACGGCTTGGGGGATGAAAGTATATAGTCTAAAGTACAAAAAAACGTGAAAAAAAAAAATTTGATTTTTTGAAAAAAAGATCGGGAATACCCCCTTAAGGAACAAATATCCAACGGCTGAGTTAGCATATACTACTCAAATGAAACTAAGAGAGGAGGGTAAACACCATTCTGCGACTATTGTGCATGATATTACATGAAGAAGTCCATCATTAAATAAATAATAATAAAGACTTAAAGAGGTAGATATTTTCTATTAATATTGCGTTTAATCAACTAATATAAATATATTTTAAAGCTACTGAATCGATCATACCGGGAAGATATATATATAATCGTCAGATCCATACATTTCTAGTTTAAGAGATGTTAGCGACAAGCGATAGATGGATTTGGTTGAGAATGCTAGAAATATGCTGGATCTACAATCAATTCACCAGCTGGAAGACACTGATTTGGAGTCAAACGAAAATAGTGATTTCAATTTAACAAGGCTGATATTAAAATAATTAATTCAACGGGAAATTCTTTATCAGGATAGTGAAAATAAATGAAATATAATAATAATCAATAGATTAAAACATATAAATTACATAACTTTATCTGGGGCCTGTGGCTAAAACGGGATACCGATGACTACTAGATGAAATGATAGTATTTTCACTATAGTTTCATCATATTGAGGAGCCGCCTGCCACTTTTTGCCTATTTCAAGTTTGTTGATGCTTGTAATTAGGCTATTTTTGAGCTGATATTGCCTATAACATTTTCTGTTTTGCAGATAGAACCTGTCTTCAGTAAAGTTGTGTATTTATAGTCATTATAGTACATTAGTACATTATAGTCATCTAAAACAAAAAATTTCGGAAATATTTACAAAAAAAATATTTTTGAGGCCCTTCTATGAAAAAACTCAAAATCACATATTTCGGAAATATTTACAAAAAATTGATTTTTGATGCCCTTCATAAAAAAACACAAAATGAAAACACAAATCTAAAAATTTAGATTGGCACACCTGTGGTGAAGTTCCGAACTAAAACTTAACTTCAGTCAATGAGTCTTGTCATTAATAAAAACTCTTCTGAAGACACTTTATTGAAAAAAAAACCACTGTGAAAGGTGCTAATGAAAAAAGTTCATGGATTTGACCTTTTACACCACGGTGCACTGTAAACTGCAGCCAGGGGTCAGGATTCGAAATACAGAATTTTCAAATTCTGAAATTTGAATTTGTGCTATGTTATGAAGCCTCCCTTGCCACAAAGCAAGTCCATGCTGGAGGTGGCTGGGTTCGATTCCCGGTCCAGTCTAAGAATTTTTCGGGTTGGAAAATTTCTCGACTACCCTGGGCATAGAGTAGATCGTCCGAAGAGCTTCAGGGAAGTTATATTTCCTTAAAGAGTACTGCAGGTCCATAGATTCCTGGAAAATGTCTAGAACAGTGCTGCCATGATAAATTTAGAGCTGGTTAATCATTATTTGTTTAGATGTGTGCGTTTCGCCAGCCACAAATTCATGTGCCTCCTTAAATACATGTACACACAATTTAGTTCGCTCTAAATGACATTGTGATATGGGAAGAACTTGTCTGCAATTTACTCACAATAAATCTTAAAAATACTATCAGGGAAGAGCACCATTCGTAAAATGGCACCAATTCCTTATGTTAGCAATCGAGAGATGTCAAATACTTTCACCAATTAGAGTTGACACAGACCCTTGCCTTGATAAGCCAAACCTCTAATCACTGATCTACCCCACCATGCTTGTTTCACTGTCTTCGTTCACAAATAAGAATTGGGAACCGATAATAACGAAACTCTTCGCAACATTACAGAGGATTAGGCAATAAACGTCTTTAATTCCAATGAGAACGTTAATCTCTAACATATACCAGTAGACAAAAACGGGACTGATATTTGTTACCGTCAGATATTAAAAGTAAGGCAAAGGCTACAGAGTTCCTGCAATTTTCCAGTTGTTCATAGAACAGCCCTTAAGATTCCAGAAGTTCCCCGTAGTCCTTGGAACTACACTGAAGTTTACGAAATTACCTTAAAAATCTCTAAACAGTAGTTGTCTTTCCTTAAATTCTCTTGTCAAAGCTCCCACCGTTATCCTGGAGTTAATAGATCTGCCTTGAAGTTCTTTAAAAACTTTCAAAACTAAGGCTTGTACTCGAAAAAATGCACCATTTTTATCCGTGTGTAGCTTTTTTATCCGTGGGTAAAAATTGATGAAAATCTGAGTATAACTAGTTTGGAGTGAATTGTTTACATGTGCAAAATTTCATAACAATCGGTTAAGTGGTTATTGAGATGTCATCGAAACAAGAAGAAAATCGCCGGAGAATTTTGCGCGCCGTCATGGAAAATCCGACTGCGACCATGAGATGGATCGGAAGACAACTGGGAATCACCCATACAACTGTGTCTCGGGTGGTAAAATTGTTTAAGGAGTCCCAGGCGACCGAGCGGCGGGTTGAAAGTGGAAGAAAATCGAAGATAGCTGACCCTGTGAAGGCCCGGAAGGTGTTGGATTATTTCAAGCGTAATCCGAACCTTTCGATTCGCGACACGGCTCTGAAGGCAACGTGTTCCGCCTAGTTCGTTCAGCAAACCATGAAACGAGCTGGGCTTCGTGTATTCAAGGTCCGGAAGGCACCGAACCGGCGTGATCAACAAAACACGGCGGCCAAATCCCGCGCAAGGAAGCTGTATCGAGAGTGGTTAACGAAACCGATGTGTGTGGTTATGGATGACGAAACCTACATCAAGGCAGACGCAAAGCAGATACCGGGGCTGAAGTTCTACGTTTCCAAATCACGGTTTGATGTTCCGGAAGGCATAAGGAAGAAGAAAGTGGACAAATTCGCCAAAAAATACTTGCTCTGGCACGATGTCAATCATACAAGGTCTGGAACAACAGGCAGCTTGCTGGTGTTCAGAAGCAAAAATGTTGAGCAAGCGAATGACGATGTCACGGCAGCACAACATGCCATATTGCGAATAGCAGACGTGTCGTCACAGAAAACAGCTGTCTCGTGTAAAAAGATAAACATTGTGATGAAAAACGAACACCACTAAACATTTCCACATTTCACTAATACCAATAAGCCGGTTAGGTCAGACCTTGTATAATTGACATCGGCTCTGGCAGGCCATATGCCAATGCGGTAAACTGAGTAAACCGTACATCACAATTGGTACCATCAACAGCAAAATTTACCGCACCGAGTCTGTTGCCCTTCCTACGGTCCCACGGAGGCGAGACATTATTTTGGCCGGACCTGGTATCATGCCATTACGCGCGATCGACGTTGGAT